GAGAAACTCTGTCTCAGAAAACAAAACAAAACAAAAACAAAAAGAATGGAAACCAGAACATGTGTGGTCAGATTACCTTTTTTTTTTCTGTTTCCAACTAACTCCTTTTTTATTTTTTTTAATTTAGATTAGAAACCATCTTGTTTCACATGTCAATCCCAGCTCCCTCTCCCTCCCCTCCTCCCCTCCCTCCCCACTAGGTCCCCCAGTCTCCCACCCAATCTCCACTCCCATCCCCAAGGAGGGTGAGGCACTCCATGGTGGATCTCCAATAACTGTCATTTCATCCAGGGCAGGGCCTAGGCCTTCCCCCAAGAGTCCCAGCTAAGAGAGCCTCCCATATTGTGGCATGGGCACTCAAAGTCTATTTGTAGGCCAGGAATAAATACTACCCAAGGCCCCATACATTACTTAGGCCTCCTCACTGACATCCACATTTAGGGGGTCTGGGTCAGTCCCATGCTTCCCACACAGACATCAGTCTGGAGTCCAAGAGCTCCCCCTTGTTCAGGTCAGCTGTTTCTGTGGGTTAAACCAGCCCACTCTTAACTCCTTTGCCAATCACTTCTCTCTTTCTGACACTGGATTCCAGGAGTTCAGTTCAGTGTTTGTCTGTGGGTATCTTCCTATGTTTTCATCATTCGCTGGATGGAGGTTCTGTTTACTAGACTCTCTGGCAGTGGAATTGTATGCTGGCACTCCCCTGATTCATGTCTAAAATCCATAAATGAGTGAGTACATACCAAGGACTTCTCCGTCTTCCAGCAGTGACACTGTCCAGCCTCAACCTCTTGCTGTAACCACTCCTCCTTCCAAAAGGCAGCTTTTTTTTTACCTGATGGTTCTATAACCCCATGTCAGAGAAACAAAACCAACCAGGGTACCCCAAAGCCTCTCTCCACTGTGTAGCTGTCCAGAAGATGAGAGCTTCATCTCTGTTACTGATTTGACCTTGTTGACCTCCGGGGAGACACGGGTCTAGAAACCAAAAGGCCAAAAGATGAAAGCAAAAGGCTCCACTCTAACAGACACCGACTCTTGGAGTTTTCTGTGTGACTTGTGATGCCTCCCAATGACCCATGACACCTCACCACTAATGACCTAGGTACTTAACAAAAGTTACTACGTAAGAAGACGGTGAGAAGGCTGGAAAGATGGCTCACTGGTTAAGAGTGCTTTGCTGCTCTTGCAGAGGACCAAGTTTAGTTCCCAGCATACACATCACAGCTCACAACTTTGTAATTCCAGCTTCAGGGGATCAATCGCCCTCTTCTGGCTTCTGCAGGCACTGCACTTACATACACAACCCCCCACCCCCACCCCGGCATATACACATAATTAAAAATAAAATCTTTAGCAGGATATGGTGGTACATGCTTTTAATACCAGTATGCAGGAGGCAGAGGCAGGTGAACTTTGAGTTTGAGGCCGGCCTGTTCTATACAGTGAATTCCAGGCCAGTCAGGACTACTTAGCCTAACCTTGTCTAAAATGAAAATAAAATTAAAAAAAAATCCTTAGAGGCTGGAGAGAATGGCTAGGTGGTTAAGAGCAGTTGTTACTCTCACCAAGGGTCTGGTATCAGTTCCCAGCACTTAAATGGTGGCTCACAACCATTTGTAACTCCAGTTTCGGTGGATCTGCTGAGAGCTGCCGTGGGGTCATACAGCTGGTGACAACTAGTGTTCAGTGGGCCAACCTACCAAATGAATGACTCTCTGTTGGGGAGCCCCACCTGGCAAAGTCCATGGGGTCACCAGTTGCTCCTGCCTGCAATTTCTCTCATGTGCTACCTCACTGTAGTTCTTCCCTGAGAACTGCATTGGGTGTTTCTCCACTGCTTGTGTGTTTATCTCATGCAAATATTCCATCTGTTGGGCACACATGTAGCTGTGGATGATCAGGAAGATGATTTCTGCTTATCTGTATAATTTTGATGACTAGAAATAGTGCTAAGATGTCTTCCATTATTCAGACTGACATAGGAAGGTAACGGTATTCTCAGCTACAAAGACAGCTAATTTTGGACTTCAGAGCAGACGAGTTGCCCCCCCCAGACAAATATACAAGATCATTTTACCAGATGTTGTTTATTGCCATTAAGGGTCAGGCTACAAGCAGCTTTAGTAGACACAGCTTTCTCAGTAATTGACTTTTTTTTTTTTTTGCAAGAAGTCCCAGACTCTGCTTATGTTAGAGGCTCAAGATTCAGCCGACTGTTTAAGTTCTGTCTGAGAACCCTCATCAACTTGGGAGCTCTATGTGCACGGCCAAGCTTTACTCACAGCCGGTCAATGGGACACCACTAGTCTAAGAGAAACTATGTAACTTGTTTCAGGAGAATGGGTCAGTCCCTGAAAATGCAACATATAATTGTCCAGAGTTTGAGTGAGAGAGAGGAGTGGCAGTGTAGATAGAGTGGGAAGCTGCATGAAGCTATGCAGTAGAACTCCACTGTGGGAGAAAGAAATGTGAGAGATGAAGAAGACGAGTGAGTGAGTGAGTGAGTGAGTGAATGATGTAGAAGTGTGTGTGCGTATGTGTTTGAGAGAGACAGGAGAGAGGGGGTGGGAGAGAGAGAGAGAGAGAGAGAGAGAGAGAGAGAGAGAGAGAGAGAGAGAGAGAGAGAGAGAGAGAGAGCTATGTAAAGAGCTGCTGCTACACAGAGGAGCTGTGCCTAGGAACTGTAAAGGGCCGTACGGCGAAAGAGCCATGTAAATGAGACGTATAGCTGTGGCTGTGTGGAAACTTGTAACTGTGTGGAGGCAGGGAAGACGAAGCTATATATATATGGAAAAGAGATGCAGAAGAGAGATGTAGGTGAAAGAAAGATGTGTAGCCACGTGAAAATAGATGTAACTGTGTGCAGGGATGTATGGCCGTGTAGGAGATGTATGTATGCATATATGTAAACAGAGATATGTAGCAGTATGTAAAGGATGTAGCTGTGTGGAGACAGAGAGATTCTCGGAGAGAATTATTTAAGATGTAAAAGAGAAAGTTACCATCAGAATCTGTGTTTCCTTTTTTAGTCTACAGATAGAAAATAGTCTAGCCTTTGCCACATTCATGGATTTTTTTTTTTTATGAGACAGGGTTTCTCTGTATTGTTTTGGAGGCTATCGGTCCAGCCCGGCCTCGAACTCACAGAGATCCGCCTGCCTCTGCCTCCCGAGTGCTGGGATTAAAGGCGTGCGCCACCACCGCCTGGCTCATGGATTGTTTTACATACCCTGGATGCTAACTGGAAGCGGCCCCCTGCACCCCTCGCCCCAGTTATCCATAGGGATCCAACACTCTCTTCTCACCTCCAAGAGCACCAGGCAGCAAAATCATCTTGTAGTAGTAGTAGGAGGAGGAGGAGGGAGGAGAGATGTCCGCTTTTTTATCTATCCAGATGAGACTCTACCCAAGCAGTGTGAGATAAAAACCAAACAGCACCTCTTATTTATAAAAGGAACATCTCCCTTCAGAGAGTGACTTTATAATGTTTCGCCCCTTTTCTTCTGTCTTTATTTACATATTTATTAAAAAAATTTTTACATGCAGCACTAGAGAGATGGCTCACTGGGTAAGGGTGATTGCCATCGAGTCTGACGACTTGCGTTTGCTTTTCCCCCCACATGGTGGACAGAGAGAACGGACTTCTATAAGTTGCCGGCTGACTTCCATATGCACACAGTGGCCCCCCCCACACCACATACCCCTCAAGCAGAAAATAATAAACTAATAAAAAAAAAAACCTTTTACATCCATTCTGTATCTACTTCTGCCCTGACACCTTACTTGTCATTCTTTGTGAAAAGAGACAGTCATCTAGCCATGATCCCATGGACACAGGGCACATGGGGGAAGGTCAAAAGACTAGAGAGGGGCAGGTCACACAGTAGGGCAGTAGGTATGAAGCCCTGTGGCTGGAGTGAGTGGGGGGGGGAGACACAGTAGGTGGTCAGGGAGAGGGTCTACAAAGTGAGGTTCATGGGGAATTTGATGGCCTAGTTGTCCTCCCCAGAAGAGCCGTGTCCCCCACCTCCCGGCCCCCACCCCCGCAGGTATTGCCCTCTCAATGAGGTCCTAGTCCCTGAGGACTCCCTGCAGGCAGGCCCACTTCACCTCCTTGTGGTGGGAGGTGGTGATGCATCCTTTGAACCTCTAATTCTCTCCTAAAGACCCTGGGACCTGGCAGCAGGATCCCTGAAACTGGTTATGCCTATGAGTTAGCAGACTCATAGATCTGTGTGTCTGGGACAAAGCTGGTACAGCCGCCACCCCCACCCTACCTGGAGCTGGAGGTGACAAGGGAAGCGGAGGGGTTTTAGCAGAAGGGAAGGAACCAGAGGGGAATGAATCCTGAGGACCAAGGGCCCTGCAGTTTGGAATTTCCCCAACTTTGGAAAAAAGCTGAGGTGCAGAGTAAGCAACTAATGACCATAGCAAAGAGTCTGTTACTGCGAGTGACAGAGAGAGGCCCAGACCATTGCTTAGCAGGCCCTTCCCTAGTGAGTTGCTGTCCCCGTTTCTGCACAGGACCTGGATGGGCTCCTGTGCCTCTCCCTAGACATGGGGCATGGGCTACTGTGTCTAGCGAACACAGACAGGGTTCTTCCTTGTTGCTCCAAGTGGGTGGTGATAGGCTCATGAATGCTTGCAGGGTGGTGCAAGGGGCTCCAGATCCTGGGAACATGATCAGCCCATGGTGCTGGCTTTGCTCCCGGCTCTCTAAGCAGAGGAATTCACTCTGCAGGTGGCTCCCAGCAAGTTCTTGGAGAGAGAGGGAGACAGAGAGGGAGGAATAAAGGAAAGGAGAGAGTAAGGAAGGGAGGGGGGAGAGAGGGAGAGAGGAAGAAAGGGAGGGGGGAGGAAGGGAGGGAGGGGGAGAGGCTACTTGAGAGCTTGGCTTGAGCCTGTGTGAGGTTCAGCTACTCTGGCACAACCGTATAGAGATTCCACCAGCACAGACAGTTTACACACATAAGCAGATACACTACGCACGCTTGGGATGCTCTGAAATGCTTTGATGTCTCCAAGATTCCAACAGAGTTATATTTTGAGTACAGGAGGGGTCCATTCAACTTCCAGGGCATCCCGAATTAAAAAAAAAAAAGATCACAACTCTGTCTGCAATGCAGTTTCCTCTGGAGTCCTGGGAGGACCCTGAAAGATCTGTTCTCAGGGTCAAAGTGAGGGCTTGAGGACCAAGGATTCTTGTGAGCCTGTCTCAAGTCAACTGTAGTCATAAGAAGTTCTCTGTACTCTGCTGTCTGGAACTAATAAGGCCCCTTGAGTACCTTTTGGGGCACGCCTTGGGAGATCTTAGGGCAGTGTCAGGTAGGGACTATGAGGAGATCATGACTCTGACCAGACTTTGGGTCTTCATATCTGTGTCGCTTTGGGGAATGGGAGTGCTTGTACCAGGCAAATGCACTGATTCCTATGATAATGATGATGATGATGACGATGGCAGTGATGAGGATATCTGTGCGCACTTCAGGTGGAGGCTCAGCAATGACCTGCAAGCTTCCTGGCTCCTGGTCGGCAGTGTCTAGGTCTGGAGCAGGGAAAAAAATGAGAACTGGCTCGCATAATTCATTCATTCTAGCACCCCTCACTTCACCCTCACACCCCTCGCGCCCCTCAACGCTCCCTTCATGGACTCCTATATATGGGCAGGAAAGGGTTGTGGAGGAGGCTAGGAGGGGGCTATGGGTGGGGGACTCCAGGAATAGTGTGAAGATCCTATACTGTTGGAATCGGAATACATGAACAGTTTCCAGCCTTCAGCTCCTTCCTGGTCTTGGGGCTCTGCCAGAGGTTTGGGGACGACAGCCCTGGTGTGCCTCCAGGTGACAGCAGAGGGAATCCTGTTGTCACCCCCAGTCTCCTATGGGCTCAGATGACTATGGTTGATTGAACTGGTGTTAAGGACCAGAGGGAGTGGAGCCTGGAGGGACTGGGCAGGAAGGAAGGGGTGAGGAGGGCGGTGGGTTTAGACACATAGGGCCCTTGTCTGTGTGTGGAAGCAGAGGGAATCCAGAGCTCGATTGTGAGGGGTTCCTCCCTGCCCCTTCCTCCCCTACTCACCAACTCACTTCCTAGCCTAAAGCTCACCAGTAACATTCAGGAAGATGAACTGGTCGGGTGGTCTCTGGCCTCCATGCAGCCTCCACAAGTACTGCCCTGCGTGGATGTCCTGGACCTCTGCAATCACCAGGTGAGCCTGGCGTCCTTGAATGCGAAGCTGCCAGGAATCATTAAAGTGGTTTCCCGGAGGCCTTGTGTTAAAGATGGTACTGGTCTTCCCATTGGCAGTCAGCTCAATGGTGACATCACTGAAGGTGTTGGAGATGTTACAGGCCATCACCACGCGGCTGCCTCTGGGTGCAGACACTTCAGCTTCAGTGCATTTGGGGTCGTCCCAGACTGTGTAGAGAGTCCAGTCTTCACTTTGCAGCCTAGGCATGGTCTTTAATACCCTACCAATGCCCGGGCAGTGACCCCAGAACTGTCAAGTGCTCCACTGTCTGTCGTCAATCAGGGGTACATGGCTCAACCGTCTGTAGCCCAGCTTCAACCATATTGGGTCTGTAAAGCCAAGGTCACTACCTGGACCTGACCTTGGCCTGACCATCCCACCGTGTCTAGCCCTGAGGCCCCCCACCTTGGGAGAAGTAAAACCCAGACTTACCTTGTGAATGGGCATTCAGGGAGGCAGCCAGGAGAAGGAGGATCCAGAGAATTCTGGGACACGGGCCAGTGGATGTTACAGGGTAGGCCAACATGGCTCGTTCATAGGATGGGACTCAGGAAACAATTGTTCTGGTCAGTGGTTTTTTGGACACTACCTAGAGGAAGGAGAAAGAAGTGGTCAGAAGTCCCCAGAGCTGCTGCAGAGGCCCACGAAGACAGCACCAGTCTGAGAAGGGCTGTGCACCCCAGGGTCCCTGAGCTCCTCCTGTCTACTCCTCCCCAGATTCCCGAGCCTATGCAGGGGGCTCCACGCACCATCTTCCTCCCGTCCTTACATTTGGTAATGAGTGTGGGGCTGGCTGAGGTAAAGCAATGGGCAGATGGATGAAGCCAGGGGTGAGGAGCACTGAGCTGGCTGTTTTGCACACTTCCTTCTTAGAGCTGTATAGTCAGCCCGGCAAACTGCTCCGGTTGTACTTTGCACAGTAACAGGGTCATGTTACAGTTCTGTCACATTGGCTTGACCTGTGCACGGTCTCTCTGTTGTATACTGAGTGGCCTCTGCTCGGTGCATGCACAGTGCCTGAGGTCTCAGAGCCGCCTTGTTCTCCACCAGGGCCGGATCTTCTCACGTCATGCCTGTCCTTCAATCATGTGAGCAGCCATCCTCACACTGAGCACCGTAGCTTATAGAATGCGGTCTGTGTATTCCAGCAGTGGCTGTCTTGCACCAGAGAGGCCAAGAATCTGGTAACTGTTCAGTCCCACTAGGCTGGGCGTCTCAGCTCTCCCGGTCTGGTGCTGAAGGCCTGCAGGATTGCTGCTGGTCTTTAGTCTATGTTGAAATCCTGTAGAGGTCAGGTCCTAACACAGGTGAAGGAGTGAATACTGCAGCAACCAGATAGATGAAGCTTCCAGTGAGGGTACGGGCAAGCAGGCAAAAAGTCCAAGCTTCTCCTTCTTCCTTTCTTCTTGTCTGTGCTGCCACCAGAAGGCGCTGCCCACGTTTAGGGTGGTTCTTCTTGCTTCAAATAATCTGATCAAGGAAATCCCACGCAGACGTTCCCTGAAGCTTGCGTTTTAGTTGATGGATGACGCGGTCAAGTTGACAACCAGGATTAGCCACCACAATACCTCATGCCAGGAAAGGTCTGCACCCATCTTTCAACCAAGCAGCCTTCCCAGTGCCTTCCTGCTTAAACCCTGAGCTCTGCCTACCTGCCCTGATCACATTTTACTTTTGTACTGTACACTTCTAAAGCACAGGTTTAACATATGACAGGCTGCTTGCTGCTTTTAGTAGGTAGGCAAATCCAACTGACTGTCTTATGATAGAGGCAACTCCAGATCTCTGGGCATGCAAGCTGCAATCCCCCACCATCTTTCATAGCCTCAATGTGTAGTTCCCAGCACAGGACTGAGACTCCTCCTACACATCCTCCTCATTAGTGCAGCCTCCATGGTATGTGTAGATCCTGTTCAAAGGGTCCCTGGAATGCTGACTGGCAATAAAGGAAAGCAGAAGGCTTGGCAAAACACTGACACTTCCTGTTAGGGAACTTGTTCTCCAGAGAGCTCCAAACAACAGCATGACCTGACTCCTACTTATAGTTTACTGCCTCCTTTGCAGAATGTTAATAAACTGTTTCCTGACTCCTTCTGCAAACCATAAACATGTACACATGCACACACATATATGCACACACACATGCATGCATATACGAATACACAAATATTATGTTGTAGGAGGATGAGACAGCAGAGGTGAACCTCTAACAACCCTGGTGACACCACAGGCCTGGTACGTGTTATGCACACAGTAGGTACTCCAACAAGCACATCTAGACCCACTGAGATGTAAGAAGGGTAAGCATCCCTGCCCAGCCTCTTCTGAAGCCTTACCAGACACGGACACGGCGCACAGATTTGTTCTTTGAGACATCAGCCGGTAGCCCTTCAGGAAGATTTGCTCAGTGCCCCATGGATGGCCTGGTCCATATTCCTGGGCTGGAGGTAGGCTGGTGTAGGGTCAGTCTTGGTCCTCGTCTGGACCCAGGTGACACGGAAAGTTAGCAGCCTCAGCCAAAAGGGTGTTTGTGTAATGCCTACTGATTCACAGCTGAACTTCAGATAGGGACACCCATGGAAAGTGAAAGACAGACGCTGGGCTCTGTCTTGAGGCTGTGGGAGTTAGGTCTAGCAGTCCTGGGAGGCTGTGCCCTTTAGCCTTGGAGACTCAATCTCTGGGGGGAGGCAGGAAGAACTCAACTGGTACAGTGTGATGGGGGACTTTTATTTTCTTTTTTTGGGGTTTTTCGATACAGGGTTCCTCTGTGGCTTTGGAGGCCGTCCTGGAACTAGCTCTTGTAGACCAGGCTGGTCTCAAACTCACAGAGATCCGCCTGCCTCTGCCTCCCGAGTGCTGGGATTAAAGGTGTGCGCTGCCACATTTTCTACGAGAGTCTCCCTGTTGGCTCTCAGGAAGCCTCTGAGACATTCTGCCATACCTCACAACCCCAAGTCCTAATCACCCCACAGTCATTTCGCCGGACTCCCTGTTTGAACCTCCTTTCCTGTTAACCCTTCACTTTAGGAATCGGACATCTGTGAAGTCGCCTTCAGAATGTCACTGTGTGTGAAATGCCTCAAGATGTTCGTATTAGAAGGCTTGTCTGTCCCGAGGGTACCCCAGTCCCTTGGAAAGCTGGAACTGACTCCCTCACGGTGGCCCCCATAGGAAGCTCTTTGTTTGTCAAGGGGCCCAGGCTTCTCTCTCCCATGGTTCAAAGCCAAGGCCATCCTCCAGTCTCAGACCCTGGTCATCCAGAACTATGTTTCATGCTCACCCTGAGGTCATCACATCTGGGAGCCCCAGATGGTTCTGAAACCCAGCTAGGGGATTCCATGGTTACACCTCTCTTTTACTCTCAAGTACCTCTGCTTGGGGTGACACCGTGGCGGATTTTGTTTTGGTCCCCGCGGTGCTGGCCAGGCACCAGAGATAGTCGGGTGACTAAGTGAAAACCACAGCATAGTGACAGCAGACCAAGATCCCTCACCAGAAGGACCGAGGGCCTAGGAGCCAGCTTCTTGTTCCTGGCCTAGCTGAAGCTGGGCTTGAGGTGGTCTTTGGCTTGCACTCTGGACACAGATGCCATGTGGTCTGAGGTTGGTCATCAGAGAACAGGACAAGTATAGATCCTAACCCTAGTCCTAGCCCTAGCCCTAACCCTAACCCTGAAACCCTAACCCTAACCCTCTCTTTCTTTCTGGGAGCCTCACTTTGCCTCTCCTAGGGACCCAGCTAGGAATGGATTCAGTAGCAAGTCAAGTGGGGTAGGAGAGACATGCCAATCCAGTCGTCTTGTCCTTTCTGCGCCCTGGGGCCCCTTGATGCAGGGGAATTTTGTCCTCCTTGGGACACTGAGCAACATTAAGGTCCATGCCTTTGTTTCCTGTGGACTTTGAACCTCCCAGCTGTTAATCACAGGTGAATATTCTCTTTGCATGAAGTCAGGAGAATCCTCAGGTCCCTGAGAGTCCTAGGTGACCTTTCACCTTCCAGTTGTGCACATTCCGTCCTTTGTTCTTTGTCAGTGACAGGACAGGACCAGTCCTGGCTGCCCGAGACCCCTAAGCCCCAGCTCAGCACAGAGAGTGGGATCCAGATGCCAGTGATCATGGCCCTTTGGGTTCTGAGAGGCAGGACACACAGCAGACTGGGCTGAGTGCCTCCTGTCTGGCCTGTGACTATGCCACCTCAGTCTCAGCCTGTACCTCGTTTTCTGAGAAAGGGTAGAAAAACGGGGAAATGAGGGAGACACGGGAAAGGAAAGGAGCCCAAACGAAGCCACCTGTTAGACGAGAATCGTGAATTCCACATGGTTAATATTTTTTTTTGAGAGATTACTTATAAAGAGACAGCATTCCTTTACTCAAAGATATTTTCAAATAAAAATGCTAGGGTAATTGGCTGTGGTGGTGCACACTTTTAATTCCAATAACTGGGACACAGAGGCAGGCAAAAGCAGGCAGAGCTTTTTGAGTTCAAAGCCAGTTTGGATTCCATAACAAGTCTAGGCCAGCTAGGGCTACACAGGGAGACTCTGCCTCAAAAAAAAAGTTGAAAGAACAATGAACATGTCTAAGACCTGAGCATATACGAGCTAAAGTGTGCCCTTACTTATCTGCCTGACATTTTCTGGTACCCAAACAAACAAGACTATTACCTTCCTTTGCAATAACGGTACCCTACTTTCTCGAACCTGTGGTCCAGGATTTACTTTATCAATTACAAGCCAGTCCAGGGTCCTCAAAAAAGTATCCTTGCACTGTGATTTAATTTAAAAAATGTGTTTGTTTATTTATTTATTTATAGATTTATTTTGGTATGTAGGTGTTTTTGCCTGCATGTATATGCACAGCACACATGCCTGGTGCCCTCAGAAGTCAGAAAAGGGCCTGGGTTCCTTTCTCTCTGTTAACCCCTATTTACCCCAAATCAACCTATGCCAGTGCTGTGCTTTAAGGGCTGGTGAGGTGGCTCATCAGGTAAAGACAGTTGCCTCAAAACTATGACCGCTGGGGATCTGTCCCCGGTAACCTTATAAGGACACAAGGAAAAACCAGACTCAACAAAGTTGTCCTCTGACCTCTGTATTTGTGCACACAAACATACCCACAGCCACACCCACACACCCCCACGCCCCTACACACACAAATTTTTAGTGTCTTTTCCAGGTGCAGTTGCATCTGCCTTTAATCTCAGATCTCGGGAAGCAGAGTTGCCAGAAAAATGAAAACAGAAAGAAGGGGCCATCTGGCGTAGGCCCTTGCGGCCAAGTCTGATTGCCTGAGTTTGATCCCTGGGACCCACATTGTGGAAGGAGAGGAGACACAGCTAATGTGTCTCCTATTTTTCTCCAAAGCCCTAACTGTTCCAAGCCACCTCCTGCCATGAGGGCTCTCAGCCTCCTTGCAGAGGAGTGGGGGGCAGCTGGTGGGCTACCTTGGGGAGGGAGAAGCTGGCACTGTCCCCCTCTCTGGCCTCTGTTTTGTCTGTAGTCCCAGCCTCCAGCCACCTTAGACCCTGGGAACCTCTGGAGTCCTTCCAGCTATAAGAGGACCTCTTTATCTACAAAACAAAATAACCAGAAGCAGGGTGAGCCTGTTATCTGCCTCATCTGCAGCCATCTCCTTTACTCTCCAATTTCCTACTCAGCTCTGCACGTAGGTATGGCAGCTACTCATGGAGCATCCCTAAATCTAAACCTATCACTGCTGGGGAAACAAAGGTGAGAGTCACTGTTCCTGCCCACAAAGGTGCATGAGAAGTCTCCAGCCATTGTTCTTAAAGTGCAGTGGCCCAGGGTTTCATTATAGCTCTCACTTCTTGGGAACCCCATTATCCCTCAAGCAGCAAGGACTTCTTGGCAACATCCTACTCAATCAGAACTGAGACGGCAACCAGCCAGACCACACAGTGACCAGGACTTCTTAATTATGTAGACTCTTCCTTTTCCTCTATATAAGCCCAACACTCATGTTACCACCTTAAAGATGGGTTGACAGACTTCAATGCCATCCTTGCCCAAGCACCGTGTTGGTTAAGTTCCCTTCCTGTGTTTTTGTTTGTTTTCTTAGGGGTGAGCAGGAGAACCCACATGTTGGAACCGCTGGCTAGAATCTGTTTCAGGACTCTGGCTACACAGGCAACATGGAGTGTCACCTTTCTGACACCTCCCCCCTTCCTGATGCCTTTGCAATTAATACCTCACCGAATCCCCTGACGGGTCTGTCATCCTGACCCATGTCCAGTGGATGTGAGTGCCGAGCCAGAAAGGGGTCAGGAGCAGATTTGACCCCCTTTGCAGCGTGGCCTTCAGCTCAGTGTCGGGCTGCAGGTTAAATGCATGGAGCCTCAAGAATTTTGGAGAAGAAAGGAAGCCGCAAGAGGAGCTTTCAGCCCCACAATCAGAAGTCGGCTTCTATTTAGATTAAGATGAGAATAAAACAGCAGCACACACAGTGTCCCTGACCAAACAACATGACATAGATTCCCAATTCTGAGCGGCCAGCGACAGAGTTCACTAATACCAACCACAGCTACCCCATACGCACCAGGTCCCTCTTCTGTAGACCTGGGCAGCTCCATGCCCTGGCTTCCCATATTCATAGTCAGATTACAAGGAAAAGCGAGGTCACCATTCTCCTCTTCCCATTCATTACACATCAAAGAACCTTGCTGCTGTCTCTGCCCCTCCTGGAGCACAGTGTGCCGCACCTGGAGAGACAGATCTCTGCTCCCGGCGTCCAAGGCACCTGAGCGCCACCTCAGCCTTACCTTTACTCTGGACAAATCCTTAAAGCAAGAGGCAGCCAGTGAAGTGAGGGCCCCAGAGAGGCTGCAGCCAGGGACACCCTGCCTGTGGGTTTCATCCTCATATACCCCTTAGAGCCCCAAACTCTCTGGGCACCACCGTCCCCTCCAGTCCTCACCTGTATACATGCTCTAGCTTCTCAGCCTGCTTCTCTGGTTGAACTCTGTTGCTGTCACAGTGATTTCATAAGCCCAGAGGGCGAGTCTGAGAGAAGGCGTTCCTAGTACCGCCCACTCATATACCCAGCTGGCCTCATCTGGGAAAAAAAAAAAAACAAGCTCTGGAAAGCGTGTGACTTTCAGGAAGGACCGTGAGTCCACACAACAGTGCCAGAAGTGTCTTAGCAATTTCCTCATTAATGCATGTTAACCAGAAGTCTTGCATTAGCTACTCATCTTAGGATCACAGGAGGAGGGCCCAGGCTTTTTCTAGAAGAGTTCTGGCTGGGGCCAATGTTTGATTTGGGGCTTGGGGGCTGCTGCTTTAGGAAAACCGGGTGCATTTGTTTCCCTGCATGGGACAGCACAGGCGTGACCACTCTGGGCAAGCACAGAGGGAAAGGCAGGAACTTCAGGATTGAGTTAAGGAAGACAGGAGCCTAGTGCTCCACACTGGACATAGTCCATGGACTCCATACTCACAGGGTCCCCAGATACCTCTAGTGCTTATCCATGCTGTAGAGGGGGTGAAATGACCATGATCTCATGATCCCTCCTGGCAGGGCCTTGGCTGACCGACCAGATATAGGGGTCCTTGGTATGGTGGGGTAAGACTGCCCTGTGGTTAAGCAGTCTTTAAGGGCAGCTAAAGATTCCCTGTGTCTCATAATGCCTTTCATGCGAAAGCGAAACTAGTTTATTTGTTTTGAAACTACAAGACCAGGACAAGAACATTCCAAGTCTTACCCCATGACAGTCACAACTTAGTGTCAATGTCCACAGGGGATGTGTGCGTAGCCTTCTGGGGTTTCTGTTTACATAAGTACACTTTGGTCAGGCATATCTCCTCTAGTGTGTACGAAGTCCTCCTGAGTCTCACAGACACAGCTGCTTGTGTACCACCTCTCGCCACTAGGAGTCACCCTCTGCATGTCCTCTGATTAGAGCCCCCTCTGCCAGGGTCTGCCAGGGTCTGCCAGGGTCTGTGGCATTTCCTGTCTCTCATTCATGGGGTTTTCAGAGACTTATGTTCCTAGGTCGCTATCAGTTTCTTCAGTAGGATCTGCTAAGAATTCAGGAGTGGTAGGTGTTTATCTCCTGTTGTCCCCCTGTGCCTTAATCCTATTTTTAATTAAGTGTGTGTGTGTGTGTGTGTGTGTGTGTGTGTGAGAGAGAGAGAGAGAGAGAGAGAGAGAGAGAGAGAGAGAGAGAGAGAGAGAGAGAGAGAGAGAGAGGGGACAACTTCAAGTGTCCTATCTTAGGCACTGTCCACATTTTTTAAGCAGGGTCTCTCGTTGGCCTGGATTTCACCAGGTATGTTAGACTGGCTGGCTAGTGAGCACCAGGGATCCTCCTGTCTCTACCTTCTCGGTGCTGGGATTATAACTGTGCACACCATACTCAGCTTTTTATTTTTATTTTTTACTTGGGTTCTGGGGGGTCAAACTTGGGTCCTCATGTTCGTAAAGCAGTCACTTTACCAACTGAGACATCTCTTCAACCCACCCCTTTGTCTTTCATGTTTACTGGGGTTGCATGCATGGCTGCATGGTCACACACCGGGTCATCTGTAGATAGGGCTCATGTCTTTGTGTCTCCATATCCGGGTGGTCAATGGCATGGGTTACTCACTATGCTTTTTGGCCTGACTTGAGCCATGAGTGATGGGGAAAGGGAAGTAGAGTGAGTGGGGTGTTAGTGAAGTCCTGGGGAAGAGGAAAGATGAGGACAAGGGGTGGAGGGAGGGGTCAGATTGCATCTGAGGTCCCTGCTGTCAGGGGCTTGGTCTTCAGAGAGCTTTCCCTCTGGGGTCTGACTTATGTGCCTACATGTGCACCATCAGCTGAACTGAAAAACTGGTCTGACGCTCTGAAAAAGAGACCCCAGGTTGTGACTGCTCCGGGAGCACAGCAGAAGCAGTTCGTTGGTACCAATAGGCAACCAGGAGACACCACGAGAGTGGGCCTTTCTCCTAGGAAGAGAGTGACAGGGTTGTGTCCAGACCCAAGGTCAAAGACCCTGCTGGCCGTGATCTCCCAGGACACAGAAGAAGGAAGCATGTACTTCTCAGGAGTCTCCTGTAAGCTCTCATGCTAATGACAGAGTCAGTGTGTGTCGCTGTGCAGGGTGATCTCATGTGCACATGCGGAGACAATGCGTGTGCACCCTCATACAGGCACGCATGGTCCAGAGCACATTCCCTCCTGTGTGATAGAGTTGCTCCCTGTGTTGGGGGTGAGTTTTGAGATCATATGACATGGGCAGCAGTACAGTGTAGGTACAGATGAGTTTCTTGGGATCAGTTTCCCACTCTATGAGGACAAATCTGTTTGCAGGCAGCATCTGGCCAGGTAGCCTTTGAAGCTCCCCTTAAGAATTCTATGCCCCAAAGTTCTTTTCTCTTTGACTTTGATGACTGAGAGAACCAGGGCAGGGGAGTACTTTTTGACTGGCACTCATGCAATCCCTAGAAGATAAAACCGGAAAATACAGAGGCTACAGCGAAGGGAGCCCAACTGAAGCCCATGACTCAGTTTTCTTCTAGGGTTCCTGCAGCTGCGGGGGCAGAGAGACTTCATGGACTTTGAAGTTTCCCCTTCTCGGCAGAGGTTCAGAACTGACTTTTGACGGAACTTCATGCATCAGCACAATTTACTAGTTTAGGAAGCACGATGGCAGGCTTCAGAGGCTAAGATACACGGGGCCCTGAGCTGTCTGTCACCCAGTGTAAGAGGGACCTGGGGAGCTGCGGCAAGACCTGTGACCCTTACTCTTCACTGTCAGCTTGATTGCATTAGAATCACTGTGGAATCACACATCTCCAGATGTGTCTGAAAGCGTCTCCAGAAAAGTTTAACCAAGGGGGATGTGGGCGGCACCATCCCATGGGCTGGGGTTGGAGTTGCAGGTTGTACAGCAAAGAGACAGCAAGCTGAGTACCAGCGTTTGGTTTTCCTGCTTCCTGTCTGTGAACACAAGTGCTTCCAGCTGCTCCACGCGTCTGCCACGGTGCCGCCTTCCCCATTACAACAAACTGTATGCTCAAACTGAGCCCAAATCAACCTTTCTTCCCTAAGCCGCTTGTGTCAGGAATTTTGTCCCCACAACAAGAAAAGCGCTAACACGTGGCCCCAAACAAAGACAGCATTGAGGTGCTGTAGATCACCTCACTTCGCTCTGAGAAGCACAGGTCCTTTGGCGTCTGGGCACAGCCTGCAGCCTCAGAGAAACCAATGGGGCTGGCTGGCTCTGGAGGCCACAGGCACCAGGCAGTATTCCTGGCCTCTGCTTTCCTTCAGGCACTGGTGTGTGAGGTTTCCTGTAGATTTTCCTGTTTTTTGTTTTTGTTTTTGTTTTTGACCGACAGTTGTATTTCCCAGCTGACCTGATGATCTCTTCGTTGGATTATTTATTTATTTAAAGACTAGCATCCAGGAGGATGTCCCAGAGTGTGTCCTATGTAGTGGTCGACGGAACAGCTCAGAAGGTGACAGCGTTTGCCTGATGACCTGAGGTCGATCCCTAGAACCTCTGCAAAAACCAGACGTGTGGCGGCATGTCTCTGTAATCCCAGTCTCCTAGGACGAGGAAGGAGGTAGAGGCTGGAGAATTGTCTGGAAGCTCTTGGGCTAGCGAGGCTGGAATTTATACCGCACAGCAGCAGAACCAAGAGAGATTCTGCCTCAAAACATGGTAAAGGCAAGAGCAGACTCCCAAAAGTTATCCTCTGCCCTCTGTATATGCATCCTGGCGTGTCCACACCCACACGCATACACAACAACAACAATGGTAATAAAATAATGAATAATAATAACAAAGTATGGAATTTCTATGAAAAACTCCTTTAAAAAATCTATATGTAAGGAAAAGCAGCATTGTAACCAAGACAAAAGGTCAGAAAAGAACAGGGGGCTTTGGATATGAATCAGGGAGTTGGGGCCAGGGTTCTGCCAAATAGAGCCCCTCCAGGGGAGTCTCAGAGCTGACTGTCTTCCCCAGGAAAGTAATACCTGTGAGCAAGCACCTATACCTTCCATAGACCCCTGTCCTGGGGGCACTCTGCCTTCCAGTGGCAGGAGTGGGGTGATGGTTCAACTCACACGTCTAATCTTCCTATTTTGGCCCTCGGAACTTGACATCTGGGTTTCCCAAGCTTGTTACTATTGTGAGTCAGAAAGCAGATGTGTGCCCAAGCTCTTGGTGCAGCCCTAGGCTTGTACTGGAGATCAGTGGGTATCGGAGAGACGCTGAGCTCAGGGGCTCAGCAGAAGCAAAGGAGCCTAGGCCACTGTAAGAGGCAGAGGGTGGGGATGCTGAGGGTCAAGGGCTTTGCAGATGGAAACTCCCAAATTTTGGAAAGAGCTGAGGAGCAGATCAGATGGCTGAAGACCATAGTCTGGAGGCTGTACTCTTGTTCATGCGACTGAGAAATGCCCACTGTTTTCCAGACTCCAACACCCTCTTCAGCGAGTCACTGCCCCCTCCTCTGCAGAGAACCAAGGGTTACATCACCCTCGGGGAAAGGTCTTCTGCATCCAGAAAACACGAACGGTCTTTTGCTCTGCCAAGCACGTGATGGTGGCTCCATGGTGTTTGGTTTCCAGATGGTCGTAGCAGCCGCCAAGGGCTAAGAACATGACAAGCCCAAGCTGGTGGTCTCTCTCTGGAATCAGCTCTGCAGGCAGCTCCTCCAGCCTCCACTGGTCCACAGACTTAGAACCTCCTTCATTAGACAGGGAGAGGTTGGAAGGAGAGAGGGAGGGTGAATGTCTGAGCTCAGACCTGTGTGCAGATAGGCACAGGCATGCGCAGGCGACCCATTATCTCATACAATGCATGTGTGAACGGTCATGCCACCTACGCTAAGAACACTCACTTCCATCTACACTCCTCATCCCATTGGAACCTGGGTCTAAGCCTACCATGGCGGGCTTATTTCCAGGGCATCATAGGTCTGAAACACACCTGGATCAGAAACCACAGGTTCCCTCCTAAACCCAAGTTCCCAGGAGTCCCCAGAGGATCCCGAAGACTACAGACTCCACGCTGCTCTCCAAGGTGTCCAAGGGTCAGAGTAAAGCCTTGAGAACAGATAATCCTTGCAGACCCAATGCAGGGCCTGTGTTCTTGGCTGTAGAAGACTAAAAGCGTTCTTGCAGTGGGACCTGCTGTCTTGATCCTGTGTGGCCTCCATAATCTCCCTGAGCGCCCCCCACCCTGTTATAGCAGAGCTCAGGAGACACCCCGAAGAGGTATGAGGTAAGGATCTCAGGAAGACCCCACCCATACCTCAAGTCAGGCGCAGAGGCACGTATCCACTGGAACTTGGAAGAACGGTGGCGCCTGTAGCAGATTAGTGCTCCGATTCCCGTGAGTCCCAAGATCAAGATGACAGTGACCAGGACTCCCACGAGGGTGAGGGTATCAGGCCCGACCTCCTGCTGAGAGTGCTTGACTGGATCTGAAGCGGGTCAAAGGTCAGGGGTGATGTTTGCCACACTGTTTCTTTACCGCCTCATCCCTCACTGGTTCACAGTCCTATTTTTCCCAGTGTTTGCCACCTGCTGACCCCACACCCTGGTGGGCAAGTACAGGAAGGGCTAAGGGTGAAGGGGTCCCAGGTGGCCAGCACTTGGCTCCATGGCATCGGAAGCAACGGGAGTGCTGAGAACCCCGGGGACAGGGTTAAAGAACCTACCTGAAGGGGTGGCGTCTGTGCGTTCCTTGTTTGCAGGCTCTGCCGGAGACATACCATCAGGCTGAGTGTTATGTGACTGCAACCCCCCCCAATTCCAACCACAATAGTCCTGTAGGCCTGGCTGGTCCTACGAGGAACCAACATCAGGCTCACCTTCAGGGGCTCAGTGGTTATGACAGATCAGACATGGAAACTAGAGCCTTTACAGATACAGAAAGGATGGAGTGGGCAGTGGGTTTCAGACAGGGGGAATCAATTTCTAGGTGTAGTGAGGATGGGCATCAGGGGGTATGCCTGTCTCTAGTGAGATGTGTGGGTGACACAGAGGGACGTGGGTTAGGACAGGGGTCTTCTGCGGTTACTTCTGCTTTGTAACTGAACCTTGAAAGCAGCTGGGGTAGTGTCCTAGCTGGTTCTTAACTGTCAACTTGACAGAGCCTCAGTGGAGGGACTGCCTAGAGCAGCCTGACCTGTGGGCGTGTCTGTGGAGGACCACCTTGGTTGTTAACCGATGTAGGAGGTTCCAACCCACTGTGGGTGGCACAATTCCCTGGGCCCGTGGTCCTGATCTGTATAAGAAAGCTAGCCGTGGTGGCGCACACCTTTAATTCCAGCACTTAGGAGGTAGAGGCAGAGGCAGGTATGTTCCTGTAAGTGAGTTTCAGACCAGCCAGGGCCACACAGTGAGACCCTGTTTAGAAAGAGAGAGAGAGTGTAAGAAAGAGAGAGAGAGAGAGAGAGGCAGAGACTGAGAGTGGATGGAAGAAAGAAGGGAAGGAGAGAAGGAAGAGGAAGGAGGATGGGAAGGCATGGGTTAGACAGGAAGCAAGGGAAGCAACATCCTCCATGGTCTCTGTCTCAAGCTCTTGCTTGAGTTCCTACTCTGACTTCCCTCAACGATGGACATTGCTCATAAGCTGAAATGAACCCTTTCCTCTCCTAAGCTGCTTTTGGTCATGGAGTTTGTCACAGCCACAGAATTAAACTAGAACAGGTAGCAAGTGAGGCTAGAGAAGTGAGTGAGGAAGGTTCTGGGGAGAGGGTCCATCCAGGTGCCGAGAGTAGGGTTATCAGAGCATGTGCTTGGGGGGGGGTCCTCTGCTCTTCTGTTCTTGTCTTGAGACAAGGTCTGACCCTGAACTCATGATCCTCCTGCCTCACAGCCTCCCAAGTGCTGGAATCATATCACACCTGGCTGCATTTGCTCTCCTTAAAGTGCACAGAGTCTGGGGCAAGCCTCCAAGGTGGAAGATGTGGGGAGGGGGACAGGGACACGGCAGTGTGGATGCCGCTGGAATGGAGTCCCACTGTGTGGTCACCCAAGGCTGAGCACACCCTCAGTTAAGATGGCAATGGCTACGGACCTCTCAATAGTAGGTATGGCACGAGCATCCTACGCCAGACAGTGGCTGGGTTCTTCTGGAAACTCCCAGGATGCAGAGAATCGGGGTGCAGTTTCAACCCCCAGAGCTGATGTGTGAGAGGTTTGTGAGCGGCGGGGGAAAGCGGCATATTGATTGGCATCAGTTGCTTCCGGCACACCTCAGATGGGCTTCTGCCCTGAGCAGTGGAGCCCCTGTCTACATCTCAGACAGGTTAAGCTCCTCTAAAAGACCAAAAATTTTGCTTTCCCCTCTGCCCTCCTTCCTGTCCCCCAAGTCACCATACTTTACCACACTCCACATACTGTCCCCTATCCCCTCTCATCTCCTTACTCCACAGTCCCTACCTCACCTGAAACATTCAGGGTGGTGAATCTGTAATTTCTCTGGAGTCCATGCAGGTGCCAAAAGTACAGCCCTGTGTGGACATCCTGGGTGTCTTTGATCATGAGCCGCGCCTGGCCTCCTTGAACTTGGAGCTCCCACCCATCGAAGCGGAAGTTTCCTTGGGGCACCTCATCGAAGATGATCCTGTTCTTCAGCTGGATGGTGACATCAGAGAAGGTGTTAGAGATGTTACAGGTCATCACGGCGTGGCTGCCTCTTGGCACAGACAATGTGCCCTTGGTGCATAGAGGACTGTCCCAGCCTGTATGGAGAGAGAATGATCACATATAGGCAAGGCAGAGCTGCAGGACAGTTTCCGGCCGCTCTCGTAGGCCATGGGCAGAGAGGCAGGTGTCAAGGCTTCCGGGAGACAGAATTTCACACTGATTGGGTCAAAGATAGGTACACACCACACGGAAGGAATGAAATGGCAGTGATTTCACTATCTATATGGGGATGCTGGATCTGGAGACCAATGTTGGGGAACTCCCTGGGCCCCTCTGATTGTCCTTAGTGTCTGCTGGTCTGAGGGTCCAGATGATGCCTAGGCTGCTGGACAAGGCTGGATGTACCCAGAGGAGGTTAAGCAGGTTCTCAGCTATGTGGTGCCTCCGTTGCCAGACCAGGGTAGCCTCTTTCCCTTGCAGCCTGGGTGTAGTTTTTGGGCAGTCCCACCAGTGTTCTGCCATCTGCTCCAAGTGTCACTGGTCCTCTGTTGCTCGCCATCCTCAGATGTACACGGTTCACATTTCTGTAGCCCAGGGGCACAGCCCTCCTGCCGGTCTGCGGTGCTGAGTCTGGCTGGGTGGCAGCCATCACCTGGCTCTAACCTTGGTCTGTCTTTCCCACCCTGTCTGCACCCTTGGACCCCTCCCTCTAGCAGAAGACTCGGACCTACTTTCATGCTGAGCATTCAGTGAAGCAGCCAGGAGCAGGATGCTCAACACCCTGGGAATGTGGGCACTGGACACCAAGGGGCAGGTCTTCATGGCCAGATGGTGGAATGGGAGGCCTTAGACCCTCGTCATTTCCAGCTGTCTGGGAACACCGCCTAGAAGAAGAAAAAGAAAAACATGTCGGGCAGAGGCCCATTGAGGCTGCTGGAGAGCCTGGTGGGAGCAGTCCTAGCTGGGCCAGCGGTGTACAGCCCAGGGTCCCTGAGCTGTTGACCAGCTCTGCCTGACTACCCGAGCTTCTGCAGGATTCCGAGCCACCAGTATTTGGTGAGGTGTCACAGGCTTCGGTAAACACTTGAAGCCTGGAGTAAGCAGCACCAGGCTGACTGTCGGGCACTTCTGTAAGGCTTTCCACTGAGCTAGCGCCTGCCTGGATTGCATTGTTTATGGGAGTGGAGTCATGGCAGAGAAACATTTTAAGCCACTTGTATTATTTGTTTATTTAGATAGTATCTTGCCAAGTAGCTCAGTGTGACCTTAAATTCGTATCCCCTAGGCTCAACCTCAAAAATACTGAAATTGTGGGAAGGTACCACCACGCATGAGTGATTGCAGATAGAGATATTGACCAGAAAGCGTGAAGGATTTCCATATACTCCTGTTTGACTCAGCTCAGAATTTTTCTTGTTGCTGACTTCTCTCTCTCTCTCTCTCTTTCTCTCTCTCTCCCAGCTGTTCCAGGGTGATAACTTGAAGTCGGGTCTATATTACGGTGTTCCAGGACTGTGGCTGGAGTGTCTTCGAGTTTATGGGAGCCGGTGTTGTGTTTTTAATCTAATTTTTAAAAGCTTTTCCGGAAGCATAATGTTGCGCCCCTGCTATCTTAGTCCTCGGGAGGCAGAGAAATGAAGGTCCGGAGATCAAGGTCAATCCCCATTGCACAGCAAATTCAAGACCAGCCTGGTATTTGTGAAACCCTGTCTCAAAAAACAAAACTAACGGTAACTTTTTCTTTCTTTTTTAAAAATTTAGAGACAGGGTCTTTCTATATAGCTCCGTCTGATCTTGAACTTGAGGTCCTCCTGCCTCAGCCTCCTGAATGTTGGGGTTAGGGGTATGTGCCACCACTCCAGGCCATTTTCTATTTCTTCCATTGTTGCAAGAAGAGTAGTTCGCTTAAGTCACTACATTTCTCCCACGCTCCTTTAAAAACAACCAGGGACAGAGAAGTACGGGGTAGGCTGATCACAGTGGCTCATACCTGTTCTTCCCACACAGGGAGGGGCAGGCAGGAAGATTTCTATGGGCTTGAGGCCAGACCGAGCTTGAGACTCTGCCTCACCCTACCACACTTCTCTCCACCCCCGCCCCAAAGAAAGAAATAAGGAAAGTATATGATAGAGACCGCCAGATAGACACAAGCTGAGAGCAGCCAGAAGTCTGTAAAACCGTCCTCTCATAAATGTCCTGTGTATGTATATGAACACATGCACAAATGAGATTGTTTTTCATGTGAAGCTTGGTTAGGACACCTCCCTCTCTCTCCTCTGCCTCTCCCTGCCGTACCATAAGTGTCTTGTGTCCACTGAACGACTGTGACCGACCTTATTTGGAATTAAGCCGCTACAGTGTAGACGCTCAGCATGAGGCTATACTGGATCTGGCGAGCTGTGCCCAGTAGGGCTGGTATCTGAGAAGAAGGAATTTGGCACATAGGCACAGAGATGACGGCCATCTGACACTGAGGGCAGAGATGAGACCGGTGCAGTAACAAGCCCTCAGCCGCAATACCTAGTCTCCTGGAGCCTCAGGACAAAAATAGACCCTCCCCGAGCCTGTGCATTGCGGTACACGGTTATGGCCTCCATTTCTGGCACCCAGGACTGAGAGAAAAATTAATTCCTGCAGCTGTGAACTGTGCTATTTGTGGTCACCTGAAGACCAGAACCTTGCACTGGGGTTGGGGATTTAACTTAGTGATAGAGTACGTGCTTGTCTTAGCAGGTGTCTTGCCTTAGCATCTCCTCGATGCCTGCACCCCCCCCCCCTCTAACGGTGAAGAATCCAGGCTTTACCCAACTGGTGTCATCACACACAGATCCCAGACACATGAGGAGGGTTTTAGAATATCCTGCTCCAGATGCCCTCCTTACCGGAATCTGTCCATTCTGCTGACCACTGCTCCCTGTCACTCACAGACCCATCTGTGGACTCACAGCGCCGGGAGCCAGAGCTCATACCCCATGGCCTCTTCTTGCCCCCGGAGGGTTTCTGTTTTCACACTGCCCTTGCTAAGCAGTTGTCAGTTTCTCATGCAGTCGTCTGACTTCTGATTGGTTTATGAGACACTTGTGTTTAGAGGAACACATTGTCTGCCTTACGCAAGGCTAATTCCTTTCTTGTTCACTCCTCTCTCTCCTCTCTTTAAGATGTCTAACGGAGGCTGAAGAGATAACTTAGCTGGTAAAGTGCTAAGCATGAGGACCTGGGTTTGACTCTTAGAACGTACATTAAAAAGTCAGGTATTGAGTCAGGAGTGGTGGCACACACCTTTAATTTCAACACTCAGGAGGCAGAGGCAGGCAGTAGACCTCTGTGAGTTTGAGGCCAGCCTGGTCTACAAAGCCAGTTCCAGGACAGAGAAACCCTGTCTCGAAAACCAACCCAACCCAAAACAACAACAACAACAAAAATCAGGTATGAGGGCTAGACTGATGACTCAACAGGTAAGTTACTCTTCCAGAAGACCACGAATTGATTCCCAGCACCCACATGCTGACCTACAATAGTCTGCAACTCTAGTCCCAGGAGATCCGATGGCCTCTTCTAGCCTCCAAGGGCACTACCAGGCACTCAAGATTATATCTCCAGATATAAATGCAGGCAAAACACCCATGCACATAAGATTAAAACCTTTTAATTAACAAAATAAAAAGTCAGACATGGTAGCATACACCTTGCCACTGGGGAAGTGGAGACAGGAAGATCTTTGGGGCTTGCTGGGCAGTCAACCTAACCTACTTGGTAAGCTCCATGCCAGTGAGAGACCATATCTCAAAAAAGCAAAGTGGGTAGTGCTGGAGGAACAACCCCTTCCACAAGTGTGTACAAATGCACCCACCCACACATGTGTATACACACATACCAACACACACACACACACACACACACACACACACACACACACATTTGCCAAGTTCTCAAATCTTCCCGGAAGCCATATTGAAAACTGTGACTGTGAGAGTCCATTATAGGCAGCATGTCATGAGACACTGGCTTAAGCGGGACTGGCTGTCCACTGCACCAAGAGCCCTGATGCTCAAGTACCTGTGGCCCTAACTTGCGCAGCCTCCATTACCTTGCAGGTTTCAGCAAGCAGCTTTTGACACCTGACTTAACACCTGGCTAAACTATCTCCCTTCCTTGGTTTTTAATCTTCCTGTAGATCTGTTTCCTAGGCAGAACCGTGACTTAACTCCGCACCTTATTTCCTTACAACCAGGAGTTTGCCAGAACCTAGTTTGCACCCTCCAGATGCCGCCTATGCCCTTTAGTGCTTCCCATCCCTGCCCATCATCAGGGTTCACACAACCAGTTTCCCAACATTCTGGGTTGCTGGGAACCTGAATGGGTGGAACCTTCTAGAGAGGTGTGGCAACGCTCGTGAGGGGGCTTTCCACCGCTGGCGAGATCTACCTAGTACTTTCCCCGAGGCAGTGATGTGGAACTCTTTCTCCAACGCTTTCTCCAAAGTTTCTGCCAGAACTCAACCTCCTAAGCGACCTTGCTGAACATGCTGCGGGTTTGCTGAGTCTCCAGGCCTCCCTTCTGCTCTCAGAACTGCAGCTGATGAAGAGTGGGCCCCCTCTGGGGTGCTGTCCCACCCACCCCCAAACTGGGTTGTGTATGGGGCCTCATCTTATATTAACCTCCGTCTGTCTTGCCTCTCTAACCAGAGGAAGCTAGGCAGGCCACTTTCTGGATCTTCTGTTTCTCACCCGGCTCCTCTTCAGCAGGGCTGTAGTTGGTAGTGGGGCAGGGAACAGCACTGGATCCCCTTGGTTGTAGGTGTTTTGCTGGATCATGATGTGTAGAGCACATCACCCAGGCTCAACACCACTGTGTTCATGTAAAGCAACCTTCCGGGATGGCCAAGGCCACTGTCTGGTCATAGAGGTCTGTCCTGTGGTGGCCTGGGCTACAGCAGATCCCTTCTGGAGGCCGCTGAAGAATTCCTGGCCTCAGAGACAGCACCTTTGTTCTTGACCATTAGTAGAGTTTTGTCTCCTGAGACACAGACCCTTCGCTGCTTGAAGATGCCCTTCAGAGATAGGGGTGCACCCCAGATCCACCACCCATTTCCAGGCCTAGCAGGCAAGAGGTTAGACCACGGCCTCTTTTGCCTGGAAGAACGTAAGGACACAATCCCAAGGGGCCAGCCATTGACTGAAGACTCCAACCCCACAGATCCTGTTCCAATCCCCTGGGAGAAGTGGAGACCCAGCAGGGTCAGTGTCACAGACCCAGAGTCGAGCCTCTGCCTCCACGACATGAGGCCGGAAGTTGGTAGTCAGCTGGCCCTTCTGCAGTACAGCGCCCAGCTCAGTGAGAAGCACAGAGGCCTCTGGCTTGTTTACTGCCTGAAGGATGGCAGCCAGCGCTTTTTCCGTGTTAGCGGCTGACCTGTTGTGTGTGTCCACTCAGTGCTAAGCCCCCACGAAGTCTATGTTCACTGGTGTGTGGCTAGGGAGGGTAGTTCACCCAGAAGATCTCCACCCTCCCTGGAAGCTGATGGCCCACTCCCTGCAAGGACCCCAGTCCTTTCTCGAGGCCTCACTGTCCCAAAGACACAGAGTAGTTGCCCTGAGGGAATCAGGCTCAGCCTTGGCTTCTTGCCTGGAACCCCTGTACCCGAGACAGACAAGGTGGATTCCAAACCATAAATATTAACTTGGAGGTGGGAGGTAGTTTGAGAGAGTGATGTCCTCAAAGGAAATAATGAAAGGGAAGGAGGAGCCACTGAGCACCCCGGTGAATGATCTGAATGCGTATGTGTGGGCGTGGGTGGGTGGGTGGGTGAGTGTTTGGGGTGCGAGTGTGAGCACGGGCAAAGGCTCAGGATCCTACATAAAGGTGTGCACGCACACCTGAGACT